TCAACTTAGTGAAAAAAGACATTTTTTTGACAAGTTGAATTTAAAAAATCTAACGTGTGTACAAAATTAGTTTGAAAATAGGCAAGAAAATGTCCTAATTAATAGAAACACATTAAAAATGTTGCGGATGGTCACAGGTATTGGAAATAAGCCATTTCAAAATTTAAGAACTTTTCAAGAGTATGAAATATTTTAATAAGCAGTTTTTTATGGCCCAAGCACTTTGAACAATGTTGAACAACTGTTCTATTTTATAATTATTTTCTTGATGAAAAAAAAAAAAATTCTAAAACCATTGATTTGGAAATGTGCAACTTGTCATTGTCAGCTGGAAATATAATTTGACCTACAGAGTTTCAGTAATTAATATAAAAATTGGTTAAATCGTTTTGTATATTTTCTCCATGAGTGCAAATGGAAATTTTAAAACAAAGGGACGTAACTTGGTAAACTGAATCCGAACCGCAATACGGACTTTACCGAGAATATAACTGTAGCGCCACCTGTTAGCATAATTTGGGTGTCACATATTATTACACCAGATGTCGCGTTGTATTATGCTTGCTGCATTCGGCTTTCGGCTATGCGCATTCTACCTTATGACATTCGTCATTCAAGCTGAGTAAATAGACCCAATTACAAACAGTTGCAGGTTAATTTATTGAATTAATATACCAGATCAACAAATGAATAATAATTGATCGTTAAATAACGATATCAACATAAAATTAAGCAAGTCGCACACAGCAGAAAGCATAATGTGCATGTAAGAAAGCAACATGTAAAAGTTAGAATGCAAGATGTATATGTCAGAATGCATAATTTACAAGTTAGAAAGCACGATGTACAAGTTAGAAAGCAAGATGTAATTTTGGCATAAATCACCCTCCATAGTATATCATTGTATTTTTGCATTTTCGCAATCTCGAGGCTGAAACACAAATTGTGTCATGTTTTTGCATTGCATCTGTCGTGGTAAAAATGCAGCATTGCGACTATACAAAGTTTCGGCACAGTTAAACTTCGTCGTTTTTCACATTTTTGCGTGGGATTCAGACATTTATGCTTCCTGTTGTACAAGCGCACGCACACGTCAGTAGATGCAGAAAGAGCTTACAAAATGCAATAAAATATAATTTAAAATGGCATTTGCATATTACTTTTACTAGTGTAATTTCAATTATAAACAATATTACTGGTTTAATTAAAGGCATTTTTCCCCAAATGCTGTGGCATATGACTTGTAAAAGTAACAATGTAAAAATACAACAATGCGAAAATACGACAGTGCAACAATGCGAAAATGAAACAATGCGAAACTGTATAGACACGAGATAATTAATACAAAGATACGACAAATAACAGGCGAAAATATTTAAATTTTCCTTATTATGTCATCGCCAAGAGAATGTGCAAAAAAGTCTGTTCTGTCGTATATATTCTTGTTTTTCGCGTTTACTTGACGAAAAAAGCGACAATTGATACAACATGGCGCAAAACAGCCACCATAAGTTTGATAGATTTCCATTATAGTAAAGAAACCATTATAGTAAAGAAAGCTTGTTTAGCGTTGTAAAAATGTAAATTGAAAATCATTTTCATATTTTTTATCTAGGCTTGTGAAATTTATTTTCTGCATAAAACAGTTCTGATAACATATGTGACCCTGTAACAACAGTAACATTTTATTTGTTTAGTGTCCTTTGAAAAAACACAACAAGTTTTCAGTTCCTGATAGTGCCTTTTAGGGGTATATTACCTTAAATAATTCTTCAATTACCAATGATTTAAGTATATGTGGTAAGGCTTACAGTACAGGTTAAAAATCCGTACACTTTCTTGGTTGATAACACCTTTCTATAACCTATACTTTCTGTTATATACATATTAATTTAATGTACGATTTTTAGCTCACCTGTCACAAAGTGACAGGGTGAGCTTTTGTGATCGCTTTTCGTCCGGCGTCCGTCCGTCCGGCGTCCGTCCGTTAACTTTTACTTTAAATGACATCTCCTCATAAACCACTAAGCCAATTTCTTCCAAACTTCACAGGAATGTTCCTTTGGTGGTCACCTTTAAAAATTGTTCAAAGAATTTAATTCCATGCAGAACTCTGGTTGCCATGGCAACCGAAAGAAAAAACTTTCAATATCTTCTTTTAAAAAACATAAGAGCTAGAGCTTAGATATTTGGCATGAAACATCTTCTAGTGAGTGTCTACCAAGTTTGTTCAAATAAAAGCCCTGGGGTCAAAATTGGCCCCGCCCCGGGGGGTCATTGATTTTCCCTATATGCATATAGTAAAAAAATAAAAAATCTTCTTTTAAAGAACCCAAAGAGCTAGAGCTAAGATATTTAGCATGAAACATGTTCTAATGGGTGTCTACCAAGTTTGTTCAAATAAAAGCCCTGGTGTCAAAATTGGCCCCGCCCCGGGGGGTCATTGATTTTCCCTATATGCATATAGTAAAAACTTAAAAAATCTTCTTTTAAAGAACCAAAAGAGTTAGAGCTAAGATATTTAGCATGAAACATGTTCTAATAAGTGTCTACCAAGTTTGTTCAAATAAAAGCCCTGGGGTCAAAATTGGCCCCGCCCCGGTGGGTCATTGATTTTCCCTATAAACTTAAAAAATCTTCTTTTAAAGAACTCAAAGAGCTATGGCTAAGATATTTAGCATCAAACATGTTCTAATAGGTGTCTACCAAGTTTGTTCAAATAAAAGCCACGGGGTCAAAATTGGCACCGCCCCGGAGGTCATTGATTTTCCTTATATGTGTATAGCAAAAACTTAAAAAAATCTTCTTTTAAAAAACCCAAATAGCTAGAGTTAAGATATTAAGCATGAAACATCTTTTAGTGAGTGTCTACAAAGTTTGTTCAAATAAAAGACCAGGGGTCAAAATTGGCACCGCCCCGGGGGTTATTGATTTTCTTTATATGTGTATAGCAAAAACTTAAAATCTTCTTTTGAAAAACCCAAATAGCTAGAGTTTAGATATTAAGCATGAAACATCTTCTAGTAAGTGTCTACAAAGTTTGTTCAATCAAAAGCCCTGGGGTCAAAACTGGCCCGGCCCCAGGGTGCCATTGTTTTTAACTATATGTGTATAGTAAAAACTTAAAAAAAATCTTCTTTTAAAAAGCCCAATGAGCTAGAGCTTAGATGTTTAGCATGAAACATCTTATTATGGGTGTCTACCAAGTTTGTGCAAATAAAAGCCCTTGGGTTAAATTGGCCCTGCAACGTTGGGGGGGGGGGGGGTTGGGGGGCCTACATACAGGTGAGCGACCTCAGGGCCATCATGGCCCTCTTGTTTATTCTTTTGATTTGCTAGTTCATGTTTTTTAATGTAATCGACATTGGGAAGTGCCTATACATTCGACGAGGTAATTTTAAGCTAGTGACATTATAAATGCGCACTTTTTATGTGTCAAGTTGTGCTGAATTGACAATATATTTAAAAATATAGACTATTAAAATATTGATTGACCAACATTTGATATTGGAAAATGCTTATACACAGTATAACTTCTGAATTCAGAGCTTCTAAAATTCTAAAATTATTATCTTTCGGTTTATCAAGTTTACTGGTTTTTACAGGCAAAAGTTAAAAAGATATCAATCGCGATATTATTTTAACTGCTGCATTACATAGAAAACAAATTAATGTTTCTCTGATTGATGAAGCAGTATAGATGCTTAATTGATAAAAAAAGACTGTACTAGATGAAAATGATTAAGGGCCGGAAAACTGCTAGGGGCCAGAAACTGCTCGGAAACCAGTACCCCAAAAATTCAACACTCTTTTTTGATACAAGTTGAAAGTGGAATAAACATAACATGCAATTTGGTAAATTAAAGATATATTTCCGAAATATCTTAATTTATCAACAATATCTACGTTTTCGATTCCAATTTTCCGACTTCTTCAAGAACATGTATATAAGTACAGGTCTTCATTTTAACCTTTTAGGATAATGAATCCATGCGAATACCTATTATACTGTGCTCCTCTTAGATCACGGTACTTAACACTTTGAAGCAAGAAAGAAAACAACGCATAAAACTTACGGTACAAAATTGTCATAAGCTGAAACATATAGGTATTTTCTGCTGTATGACACAAGGAAACAACAATATATTGAGTCAAAATCAGTTTAAATAGGCCAGATGTAGACCATATATAGGCCATTTTGAAAACAGTATGTCATAATTTAAATCGCGGTAATGGTGTTTTATTTCTGTTTTTTCATGTTTCAGTTAAAATTTCTAGATGTTATTTTGCATAATTCTAAATATTAAAAGTATCTTTACATTGTAACTCAAAATTTATTTTTTCAACAAACAAGAACATTTAGAAAATGATGATTGTTTCAGACGTATGCGCAAATTTAACGGACTAGTGTTGCTTTTTGCAGAAGTTTGTAAAATGTTGTTCTGTTTTACGTAAAAATCTATAGATTTAAAATATTTGGCACAAAACTTTGTTGTTTAGGTGTATGAATAAAATATGTCAATTCTGACCAATTTTAACACTGGTCACATAAAAATATGCCATTACCGTGAAAAAGTGATGGCGGGGAATTAGTGATGTTGAGTATCACAAGTAATAGCCTAATAGGCTATTTATTTATAATGAAAAACACTGATTCATCATATGTAACAGGCATGTATAGAAATGTAATTTCTATTTTTTCAACAATTTGAAAATTCACTGATTTTCATATCTTAAATACCTTCAACGCCCCTCATAGGAAGAATTTAATCTGAAACATTCATGTAATGTCTCGATATGGAAAGTCAATATTTTTCATGTTACATCCATAAATAATGCATTTGAACAAGACATATACTTTCAGGGTAATGCCATCATTTGAAATAATTTGTGTCAATTCTTATGATATGGAAAGTCAACTTTTTTCATGTTTTATTCATAAGTATTACATTTGAATAAGACACAAACTTTCAAGGTTATGTGATCATTTGAAATAATTTGGGTCAATTCTTATTAAACTGAAAAGTAGACTTTTATAATTGTTCTGCCGATTATAGAATCAGGAATCAATTTGTTCACTGAAATTATTAAATTCAAACAGATCTAGTATATTCACGAAGGCATATTCTAGAAATTTTTACTTCTATGTACATGCATTGTCCATGTAAATGTATACTTTGTTTTTTTCCTCATACTTTGCCACAAACTGGTATCGTCGGTTTCAATATTTTCACTTTCAGATGTAACATATCAGTTGTAAATATTGTGATGTTACACTATGTTTTGTTCACAAAAGAAAACTTGATTAAGAAAGCCAATCATAAGGTGCCGACTTCACGTCACAAAAAAAAGAACAACTGAGTCCGTGAAGAACGCCTAAAACGGCAAATTTGAAACTGTTGCTGGCTCGGTTAGTTTGTGCCTTTTCAATGACGGTAGAAATAATTGCAAGCCACCGTCCACGCCCCCAGCACCGGCTTAAGCAGAATTCAACATTTTAACAATAAGAAAGAAAGATAAAATTGTGAATTCAGAAACTTCCGACTTTTCGGGGACGCCATCGTAATCATTCTGAGCTTTTCTTGACCCTTCACTGCGTGAGAAGCTTGGCCAGTTTCCCGCATCTGTGTAGAGTTAAAGTCTTCGACCCACCGCCTATACACTTACCATTGATGAACACACGTGGTACCTTTGGAATAAATAAATAAATAAAAAACCTCATAACATTCCATGCTAAGAAATTGGCTATTTGATATAAACGATTGTTTTTTGGCTCTATTTATTTGAAAATATAAGGAAAATAAAGAAATAATATCGATTTCTTAACGTATATAAAATACACTTATAAATAAGATTATAATAGGTTATCTTACTGTACACATATAAAATAGGTTATCTTAATGTACACATATAAAATAGGTTATCTTACTTTACACATAGAATAAATATCTCACTGTACTCCTATAAAATAGATAATCTTACTGTATACATATGAAATAGATTATCTTACTGTACACATATAAGGTTATCTTACTTTACGCATATATAATAGATTATCTTACTGTAATCATATAAAGCAGATTATCTTGTTGTACGCATATGAAATAGATTATCTTACTTTACACATATAAAATAAATTTCCTGTATCTTACTATACGCATATAAATTCATGTACGCATATAAATTATATTATCGTACTGAACACATATAAAGTAGATTGTCTTAATGTACGCATATATAAAATAGATTATCTAACTTTACACATATAAAATAAATTTCCCGTATCTTACTGTACGCATATAAATTACTGTACGCATATAAAATACATTATCATACTGAACACATATAAAAATGATTGTCTTACTGTACGCATATATAAAATATATTATCTTACTGTTCGCATATATATAATAGATTATCTTACCTTCACATATAAATTAAATTTCCTGTACCTTACTGTACGCATATAAATTACTGTACGCATATAAAATACATTATCTTACTGTACACTTATAAAATAGATTATCTTACTGTACGCATATAAATTACTGTACGCATATAAAATACATTATCTTACTGTACGCATATATAAAATACATTATCTTACTGTACGCATATATAAAATAGATTATCTTACTGTTCGCATATATATAAAATAGATTATCTTACTGTACGTTCTCCAGTGATGTTACGTAACTCGTCCTGTAGTTGAGCACACATATTATTTGGCTCCCTGTCTATTTCCCATACCTCATAATCTTTCCGGTCCAATTCTTTACCGAAATATTGTGGGAACAGTTCTTTCGTTGTCTTACAATTACCACATGTAGACTTTGAAAATATCATCACCTTCTTCCCAGATATTTTAGACTTTATAACTTCCTTTACATCCGTCATTTTGACAATGTCTCCAAAAATACCATTATTTAAACAGTTCAAAATTCCGTACGACTGTTTTATACAATATATTTTTCGATACATATAAGATCAATATACACAATGTAGGGTACCGGTAAAACTAAGGTTAAAACTAGAGCTACTCTTATTATATCTGGCTTAAACATCTAGGTCGACCTTTTTTGAATTTTGGGGACGTTTCGGACGGGTTCCAGCTTGCATAAAGAAATGCACTGAATGTTTTTAAAAAAAACACACAGGCAAAATTTGTATTTCTTCGTTTTGAATTTTTCATTCATTACTCTTTAAATGTCCTCAAAATTAATACAATAGGCAGACAAAGAAACAAAACTTTTTGCCTTATAAAGAATTAAATGGTGGTTTCCTATCTTGACTTAGTGGGTTAGGTTAGTGCATTAAGATTTCACAATAGATGTCACAGTGAGCACTGGAAACGTTAAAGAACATGTCAAATGAATGACTTAAACTTGTTTCAATCATATAATATCCACATTATTTGTTTTTGAAACTTCCTGGGTTTGTTCAAGTACACCTATATAAAATGAAATGACCATAAAAGCATATCCCGCTGTCCCCACGCTTTCTTGGGGTGGGATGTGATTTTGGCTATAAATGGGCAATGGTAATAAAATAATAAATAAATGTAAGCACATCTGATATTTTAAATAGAAGAAACATATTATTATACTTAATTAAAGTTAATCACCACCAATTCTTTTTTAAAATTAAAAATCAAAGTGCTTTTTTACTCATGGGGATCCTTAAGGGAGATAACTTACAGTGTATATTTCATGTTAGATTAGTTTCCCTTGATTTCAAAATGAAAATTTTGATTTTCCTAAAGGCTAGGTTTAAAAAGCAATGTAGAGTTTGTCTGCATATTAAAAAACAACGTGTGTGTGCTTTAAAATGTTGGAATTACCGATTTTTAAAGGCAATTATTATTGAGTTAGTATCATTTTAGTTTAAAATCCTGTTTTAAAACCATGAATAAAAATCTTCGAATACACACCTTCGTTGAAAAACAGTTTTGTCATATGCCCTCAGAAATTTCAAGAAGTTACTGAAGTATGAAATAATACTTGATGAACTTAATAATCCTCTTTAAAATATTTTGTAAAAGGGTAAAGATACGTTTAGGTACAAAACTATGGATGTAAGCTAAAGGGTACATAGGAAACACATCGACTATTTTCATTGGCCTAGCAAGATACAGAATTCATTTCAAAATGAGGGAGACAAATCGTACATTCATAATAAAAAATCTGATCTGTGATAGTAACTTCCCTTTGGTTATAAGACCAGTATTTTGGCCCTTTCTGTCATAACCTTTCCGGCAGAATTCGGTAAGGGATCGCAAACCATTTAACAATACTGCATCTCACTCGGATGTTGCGAGCTGAAAAACTCAAATAACAGAGGCAGAAGTGTAGCACGAGTTGTGTTTTCTATATGTATGTCACAATTTGATGGCGATTTTTAAATACAATTATAGAAACACATATTTAAAAGTAGAGGTAATGCATTACCCATGGTCTACCTTAATTATTTCTTCGACTACCATTGATTTAAGTTTATGTGGTAAGACATACAGTACACGTTAAAAGTCCGTACAATTTCTTGTAATAACCTATGCTTTCTATATTTAATATACATATTAATTTAATATAATTCGTTTGATGTGTTAGTTTACTTCATTTTATTTCATTTTAAATAGAATTGACATGTGGTAGGCAGCTTAAGTGC